ATCAGATAAAGTAACAAAATTTCAGATGAAAAATTGAGCTTATAATTTAAATAGAGTTTAGAAACTTAGCTCAATTCAATCATGCCCATCTCGTGTATTAATTCCGAAAATCTTGATTCACACAGAGGCTTTGTGAGAATATCAGCTAATTGATTCTCGGTCGGGATGTATTCGATTGACAATTCCTTCTTTTCGACATGATCCCAGATAAAATGATGTCTCACATCAATGTGTTTTGTTCTTGAATGTAACACGGGATTGTGTGTTATGGCTATGGCACTAGTATTGTCACACAATATGTTAACATTTTCACAATTCACACCATAATCATTCAGTTGTTGTTTCATCCAAAGAATTTGCGCGCAACAACTCCCAGCGACTATATATTCAGCTTCGGCTATACTCGTGGCTATGGAGTTTTGCTTTTTGCTAAACCATGATACCAATCTTCCCCCTAAGAACTGGCATGTCCCTGAGGTACTTTTTCGATCGATTTTACATCCTGCAAAATCTGCATCTGAGAAACCAGTTAGTGTAAAATTACCTTCTTTGGGATACCATAATCCCACATTGACTGTTCCTTTTAGGTATCGGATGATTTTCTTGGTAGCAAGAAAATGACTTTCTTTTGGCTGTGACTAGAACCTTGCACATACTCCCACTGAATAAGATATATCTGGTCGGCTTGCAGTGAGGTATAGTAATGATCCAATCATTCCTCGATATTTTGTTTCGTCAATGTCCTTGCCTTCATCATCTTTATCCAATCTTAAAGATGTGCTCATTGGGATCTTGATTGAGGATTTTCCATCTTGACCGAATTTCTTTATAAGATCTTTTGTGTATTTGGCCTGATTGATGAATATTCATTCGTTGAGTTGTTTTACTTGTAAGCCAAGAAAGTAATTCAACTCTCCCATCATGCTCATCTTGAACTTATTCTGCATGAGCTTGGAAAATTTCTCACATAAAGTTTTATTAGTACTACCAAAGATAATATCATCAACATAAATTTGTACCAATAAAATGTGATCATTTTCTTGAATTCTAAACAAGTTTTTATCAACAAGGCCTTTTGTGAAACCACAGTTAATTAGGAACGTTGATAAGGTGTCATACCAAGCTCTTGGTGCTTGTTTTAAACCATAAAACGCCTTCTTTAATCTGTATTAATATCACCTTTTACCTCGAAACCAGGTGGTTGCTCAACGTAGACTTCCTCTTCAAGTAAGCCGTTTAAAAATGCACTTTTCACGTCCATTTGATAGACAGTGAAATTCTTGTACGCGGCATAAGATAGAAATATTCTGATGGCTTCTAGTCTTGCAACAGGTGCAAATGTTTCATCGAAGTCTATGCCTTCTTCTTGTGAATATCCTTTTGCCACTAAACGTGCTTTATTTCGAATGACAATTCCATCCTCATTTGCCTTGTTCCGGAAGACCCATTTTGTTCCAATTACATTGTAATTTTCAGGTCTTGGAACTAATTCCCAAACGTCACTTCTTTTAAATTGATCAAGCTCTTCTTGCATTGCATTGATCCAATCTGGATCACTTAGAGCTTCTTCAATGCTCGTGGGCTCCACCTGAGAAAAAAAAACAAGAGAATAAAGTATGTATGTTTGAGGACTTTGTTTTTACTCCTTCTCGTGGATCTCCAATCACTAGCTCTGGAGGGTGATTTTTGAGCCATCTCAAGTCAGGTTGTAGGTTGCATGGGTTTTCCACGTTTCCTTGCTCAGTAGGTAAATTGGAGGTAGATATATTTTGCTCATCAGATTGATCTCCAACTTGTGTTTCAACTTGAGAATTTTTATTTTCCACGTGGGCATCTTCATTGGCTTCCACGTGTCCTTCACTATTGCAATCAATGTCCAATTGCTCCATACCCTGTATACTTTGATCTTTAAAAGATATGTTAGTATCATTAAATGATTTTTCATTTTGACATCTTTCCTGATCATTTTAGCTGCTCTGGGTTTCCTTCTTATGAGCTTCATCAAATGTAACATGAATTGATTCTTCTACCACCATGGATTTCTTGTTCAATACTCTGAATGCTTTGCTGGTAGATGAATATCCCAAAAATATTCCTTCATCTGCACGCTCATCAAAAGTTTTTAGATATGTTTTACCATTATTAAGAATAAAACATTTGATACCAAAAGTATGGAAATAATTAAGTTTAGGTTTTCTCCCTTTCCATAATTCGTACGGAGTCTTATTGTAAGACTTGTGTATCAAGCTTCAATTTTGCGTATAGCAAGCGGTGTTGATTGCTTCAGCCCAATATCTTTTAGGTAGCTCGGCTGACGTAATCATCACTCGTGCGGCTTCTTTTAGCGTTCTATTTCTTCTTTCGGCTACACCGTTTTGTTGAGGTGTACGCAAGGTTGTAAAAATCGGCCTAGGCGGCGCCTAGGCGCCCGCCTAGGCGCTAGGCGCCCCTAGGCCTTGCCGTTTTCACTAGTAGGCGGTGAAAACTCGCCCGGCCGACTTAGGCGGTCAAAGTCGGCCTAGGCGGTCAAAATCGGACGAGTCGGTCAAAATCGGCCGGGTCGGTCAACTTGACCGAGTCGGCCGATTTTGACCGAATAAATTCAATTTTATTTTTTTTTTGGATTTTTTGCTCAAAACGACGTCGTTTTGAGAAAAAATCAAAAAAAAAAATAAATTTATTGAATTGTCAAACTGAAGTAAACCCTAGCTCAAACTCCCCGACACTTCTTTTGTTCTTCATCTCTTCTCTCCGTCGAACTCTTCACTCTCCAACGTGCGATTGTGCGAACAGATGCCCGTCCGGCGTCAGTTGATGCTCTAGCGTGCGAGACGAACTGAAGCTCCGGTGTGCGTCTACTGAAGTGCCGAACTGAAGCTCTGCTGCTCCGGTGTCCGCTGCTGAATTATCTCACTGCCGTGATTGCCGTCTTCCGTCCGTCTTCCATCTGCTTCTAAGTTCTACCTCACTGCCGTCTGCTCCTTCCTCATTGCTGCAACTCTCTGTAAGTTTTTTTTTTTTGTTTGTTTTATTAATTTCTTAATTTGTTATTTACTTATTTTTGCTATTAGCCAGTAAGCTATTATCTATAATTAAATATTCTACACAATTACACATAGACATACACCAAGCAGTATTAACTATTAAACCAGTAACTAGTAAGCACTGTGCAGTATCTATAGACTATAATTCTATATTCTATAATTTCATTATCAAGATTCATTTCATATTTGTTAATTGACTAATTGTTACTTCAATACTTTGTTAGTCAAAATGCATGAATTATGATTCAATGATGAATTGATGATTAGTGATTTAGTGATAGATGTTCGATGGTGAATTTTGGATTATAAATTTGTTAATTGTAAATGTGAAATGATGTGTAATTTGTTAACTAGTAATTTTATTGTGTAATGTACTAAATTACTAATGTGTATGCTTTTTTAGTGATAATGGCTTCATCAAGTGCTTCGGTTACTCAAAGTATTGGATCTTCGGAAGCATCCACACTTAAAAGGAGATCAAATGATGTAGGATGGGATTATGGTAGCTTAGTTGATGCAAAAAATTTGGATAGAGTAAAATGTTTGTTGTGCGGGAAAGTTTTATCCGGTGGAGTGTATAGAATAAAAGAGCATATTGCTCATATACAAGGAAATGTTGCTCCATGTTCTAAAGCTACTAAAGATGATCAACTTAAGTGTAGGAATGCAATCAATGAAGCGAAGATGAGAAGGAAAAATAAAAAAGTTAGTGAAGATAATTTAAGAGCCGGGGTGAATATTGATAGTAGAAGTGAGTCAATTGATGTTGACGAGTTGCAAGGGTCTCTTGGATCTATGAAGCCACCACGTTCACTTGGCCCAATGGATAAGTTTGCAAGTGGCATCAATCCCGATCCTTCAATGAATTTAGGAAAGACATTGCAACAACAACGTATTGATGGTGCACTATGGAAGGAAAGGACAAATAGAGTGAAAGAATATATATGTAGATGGGCATATGAGGCCGCTATTCCTTTTCATGCATTTGAAAGAGATAGCTTCAAGATGATGTTAGAAGCAATTGGACAATTCGGTCCCGGAGTTGAATCACCAAGTAGATATGAGATGAGTGAAACATTCTTGAAAAAAGAAGTTGATAAAGTGAAAGAGTCTTTGAAGATACATAAAGAGGAGTGGAAGCAAAATGGATGCTCAATCATGACGGATGCTTGGACCGATAAAAAGAGAAGAAGTGTAATGAATTTGTGTGTGAATTCAAGTTTAGGCACCGTTTTCCTTTCTTCTAAAGAATGTTCACTTGATTCACACACAAGTGAATATATTTATGAGTTTGTTGAGCATGGCATTGAACAAGTTGGAGTTGAAAATATTGTTCAAGTTGTCACGGATAATGCCTCAAACAACATGGGAGCTTCAAAGTTGTTGAAAGAGAAGAGGCCAACCATCTTTTGGACTTCTTGTGCCACCCACACGATAAATCTAATGCTTCAAAGCATTGGAAATCTCTCAAGGTACAAGAAAGTCCTTGATCAAGCAAAGGCTTTAACGATCTTTATTTATGCTCATCACAAGACTTTGGCAATGATGAGAACTTTCACAAAGAAGAGAGATATAGTGAGGCCCGGTGTGACTAGATTTGCATCTTCATTCCTTACTTTGCAAAGTTTAGCCGAGAAGAAGATTGAATTAAGGGCAATGTTTTCTAGCAATGAATGGGAGGCATGTAAATTTTCCAATATGGCTAAAGGGAAGGTAGCACACTCAACCGTAACGAGTATGGGATTTTGGCAAGGTGTAACGGCATGTTTGAAGGTTTTTGCACCATTGGTGAGAGTACTTCGACTTTTTGATTGTGATAACAAGCCATCAATGGGGTTTGTATATGGTGAGCTTATGAGAGCAAAAGAGGAAATCAAACATGCTTTGTCCGATGTCCCAAGGAACTATAAATCGATTATTGACATTATTGAAGAAAAAATGAAAGATATGCTTGACTCTCCTCTTCATTTGATGGCATATTTGTTGAATCCTTATTACCATTATAAGGATCCACAACTTCATTTGGACGAAGTTGTAGGTGTTGGAGTTGTTGATTTTTGTGATATTCTATTCGTCAATGATTTTGACATGCAAAATAAGATTTTAAGTGAAGAATTGCCAAAATATAAGAAGAAGGAGGGGATGTTTGGAAGAAACATCGCAATCAAAGCATGTGAGGTGAATGATGACAACTTTAATCCCGGTAAGTCATTCTTTATTCTTTAATACTTTATTGTTTACTTAATTATATTTATTTAGTTATATTTAATTATTTATTAATTATTATGAACTTTGTTTTGTAGCAAATTAGTGGTCAACTTTTGGTACCTCAACCCCTTTATTGAGAAGAATAGCCATAAAGATTCTTTCTTTAACATCTAGTTCTTCGGGGTGTGAAAGAAATTGGAGCACATTTGAAGGGGTTAGTAACTTAATATGATATTTTAATATTTTATTTAGTTTGTTATCAACTTGAAGTTAATATAAATATGAATTATGAAGTTAATATTTTATTAATCATTATTTAAACTTTTGAATATTTTTATTACTTGAATTGTAGATACATACAAAGAAGAGAAATAGACTTGAATCAAATCGTCTCAACAATTTAGTTTTTGTCCAATTTAATGCTACTTTGATGAACAAGAACAAACAAGATAAAAATATTGAAAAGTTGGTTGGTAGTGATGCAAGTTTAATACAAGATTGGATTGTGGAAAATCTTGAGAATGATGAGACTGAGCCGGGATTGGATTGCAACAATAATGCTATGGAAGTGGATGAAGCATTACAACCCCGTAGAAGTGCTAGATTGAGGGATCTTGATGAAGATAACTTTGAATCGGAAGGGGAAAGTGAGGAGGAAATAAATGAAGAGGAGTTTGAAGATGATGGGCAACGTGTTATTGAGCAATATGGACAAGATGAAGAAATTGGCAATGATCCTATTCAATCATGATTCATGAATCACTTTGGATTTCAAAACTTTAAAATTTGGACTTGAATGTTGAATTTTTGTTGAATGTTAATTATGTTGTAACTTGTAAGTTTAAACTTTAAACATTGATACTTGGATGTTGTTTCACTTGTTTCATTAGTTGGATGATTAAATGTGGTATTGTTGTTTGAGTATTTGACTTGTTTAGTTGTTTGAAGGAATGCATGATAGATTGATAGTTTTATTATTTGGATGTGCTATTTGATTGAATGTTGAAAACAGCTTCATTAAATTTGTCAAACTGCAAGTCTGCTACTGTTTTTTAATTTTTTTTTTAGAGCCCGCCTAGCGCCGCCTAGATTCCGCCTAGGCCCCGCCTAGGCGCTAGGCGCTGCCCGGCCGCCCGACTAGCGCCTAGCGCCTACTGCAACCTTGGGTGTACGTGCGGCAGATAATTGATGTAGAATTCCTTGAGAATTGCAGTAGGCTTCAATAACTTGATTCACGAACTCTGTTCCACGATCAGTTCGGATTTTTGCAATTTTCAAGTCTTTCTCGTTTTGTAGTAGCTTGAGTAGTTCTGGCAACTTTTGCTCTACTTCATTTTTCTTCTTGAGAAATATTGTCCATGTGTACCTGGAAAAATCATCAACAACAACTAGTGTATATTTCTTACCACTTAGACTTACTGGGTCTACTGGACCGAATAGATCCATGTGTAGTAGACTTAGCGGTCTTGTTGTAGATTCTTGAGCTTTGGATTTGAAAGATGACTTGATTTGCTTTCCTCTTTGGCAAGCATCACATATTTGATCTTTCTTGTAAACAATGTCGGGTAGACCTTCAACTAGTTTGTTTCTTGCTAGCCTGTTGATAGTCTTGAAGTTTAGATGATTCAACTTCTTATGCCATTCCCAACTTGTTGCGTGTGAGTTGTTTGCTAGTAGGCACACTGTTTCTTTGGTTGTGTTCCAATCCACAACATACATATTTTTCTTCCTTATTCCTTCGAGCACAACTTCTCCCGAGGAATTATTCTTCACTTGGCACTGGTCTTTGAAGAACTCTACTAGATATCCTTTGTCACAAAATTGACTTGTACTTAACAAGTTGAATTTTAGACCTTCAACAAAGGATACATCTTCGATTTTCAAACCATTTCGAAATATTGTACCAATTCCTTTTGTTATGCCGTATCGTTCATTTCCACCGAATATGACTTTTGGTCCTTCGATATTTTTAAGATTCACAAGACTAGATTTATTTCCAGTCATGTGTATAGAACATCCACTATCGAAGTACCAAACTTCCTGCAAATAAATTACACATTTTTAGGTACCCAACTTGACTTGGGTCCTTGGGTGTTAGTCATTTTTGGTATCCAAATCCACCTTGTACTCACTGATCTAAGTCTAGGTGATTGGTAACCATTAAACACATTATAATCATATTTAATTTTTGAAAACATTTTTTGTGCCGGTTTTTGAAAATTTACTCGATTTTTTGGCACGTGGGAGCTAGATTGTTTGAGCCTATGATAGACATTAAATCTGGACTTAGTCCATGGTTTAATATTATCAAACCAATCTTGTTTGGAGGGATAAAATCTCCCTGCCTTAATTCTTGGATTCTTTCCCATTCTCCTATGAGGGCTTTGTCTTTTTACATACTGCTTAGGCGAAATATTTCTTTCAGGCTTCAGCCTAATAGCATTAATTTTGACATTAGTTTGGTAACCAATTCCTTGTCTCACTGTGCTTTCTTGACCTTTTACAAATTTTATTACTTGGACTTTATTATTTAAAGTAGTAGTAGAATTGGCCAAGTTTTTGGAGGCTTGAGAACACGATGGATCATAACCAAGTCCGGTTTTATCACTTGAGGGTTTTTGCATATTTACCATTTTGTCCATTATTTTGGATGAATGTGTAAATGTTGCTATAACCTCTCTAAGGTTGTGTTCTCTCACTTCCCTTGATTTGCACTCTTCTTGAAGACAAATAATTTTATCTTTCAAGTCTTTCACTTCAAGTAGAGCATTTTGCAATTTTTCATTTATTTGATCTTTTTCAAGAATCAAAAGACAATTGCGCTCTTTGGGTTGAGAGTGAGTGTCCATTACGGTTTGACATTCTTCCATTAAGTGAAAGAAGGACTCTCTAGAAAATGAAGAATTGACAGAATCATAAGAGTTAGATGTTACCTCATTTTCTTCACTTCCATTTGCCATAAGACACATGTCCTCGTAGGATGTGTTGTTGGAGATGCTCATGCAAAACATTGCATTGTCATCCTTTGAGGTGTCACTTTCATCACTTGAAGATTCTTCTTACTCACTTATCTCAAGTGGGTCACTAATAAGTGCTTTTCTTCTCTCCTTTGTGAACCTTTTACCTTTGGGCTTGAATTCTTCCTGTTGAGAGTTAGAAACATTTGTATATTGACTTTTACTTACCTTGGGGTGTGGACAACTTGCTGCAAAATGTTGCATTCCATGATTTTCCTTGTGGATTTTTCTTGTAGCTGTTTCTCTTCATGAATTTCCTAAATTTCTTGACAAAGAGAGAAAATTGATCATTACGCAATAATTCAACATTTTGTACTGACCTTGAGGTTGATGGTTGCTCAGCTACAAGTGCGTTGTTCTTTTCTTCATGATCTTCCTCTAATCTTGATTTCATCTCAAATTCATAAGCTTTTAGATCACTAAAGAGCTTATCGGTCGATAGGGTTTTTAGATCGCTATGATCTCTCATGGCCGTGACCTTCATGTCCCATGTAGATGGTAGACCACGTAGAATTTTGAGTGAGATTTCTTTTTGATTAATATCTTTTCCAAGATCATTAATCTCTCCTAAGATTTTTGCAAATCTTGTTTCCATGTCGGTAATATTCTCGCCGTTTAGCATTTTGAAATCCTCAAATTTCTTTAATGCTATAGTGAGCTTATTATCCTTTTCTTGCTCGTCTCCTTCACCAATTTGAATGAGTGTTTCCCAAACTTCCTTCGCGGATTGACACTTTCAAACTTTTGGAAATATCGTGTCATCGATAGATTTAAACAAAATATCCTTGGCAATATTGTCCAATTTATTTCTTGTTCTATCTTCACGAGACCATTTCGCTTTTGGTTTTGGAATATATTGTGGAGTGTCACTTGTTTGTACGGATGAAGTGTTGACTTGTAAAATCTCAATAGGACCACTCGTAACCACTTCCCACATTTCATCATGTAATGCGGATAGATGTACCTGCATGCGAATTTTCCAATCATCAAATTTTTCTAAGGAAAATAATAAGTTTTGGGCAAGAGCCATATCTCTTTTCATCATCTTGATTTTTCGAGATCTGTCTACCAGTCAAAATTGACTCAAATAGACAACCGCTCTGATACCAATTGTTGGTCCCGATAGGGTGGTGAAAGTCTAGAGGGGGCGGTGAATAGACTTTCAAGCTTTTTCAAAATAAATAACTCTTTGGTAACTTCAACTCTAAGTAACAAGTAAATAGAGCAAGTTTAAACTGCACAGCGGAATAATAGAATGTAAAGAGTTATGCCCAACTGATAATTTAAATGTGCATGTAAGATGGGTACAGATGATATGTCAAGTGACAGAGATATCTTGAATATATAAAGGAGATGGTGCACTCAATATATAATAATAATATTCAAGATTGTAAATAAATATCGTATCACGTCGATCGTGTGACGAACGTTACATGCAATACGTCAAACTTGCTTAGAATAAATCAATATTTAAGCTCGAGAAGTTTGAGTCACATGCATACGTGAAAACATACTAAACCCGAAAGATTAAAATTATCTGTGAATAGTAAACGGGTTAGTCGGATAAGATAGATAGATAGAGCAAATTATGTAAGTGCGGTGTGTAAATGAGAGAGGCAATTTATAGTGGTTCGGAAGTGGCGTAATCTTCCTAGTCCACTTTACTCCATTCACTTCTAGGAGTAATTCACTATTTTCCACACACAGTTACAATAGTGAATAAGCGCTACACAAGCACTTCTTCCGGATGTCTTGCACACAGCTACACCCAACTCCGAGTGTATCGCACACAGCTACACTCAACTCCTGAGTATTTCGCACACAGCTATACTCAACGCCAACTAAGTGTCTTGCACACAGCTACACTTAGCAATTACGAGTGTTCTGCACACAGCTACACTCACTAGAGTATTTTGCACACAACTATACTCTTTCTAAAATTACAAATACAAAGGTAATTGTATCTCTCTCCAACTAGATTTGAGACTATTCAGACTAAGTCTCTAAGAATATTTGAGCACTTACACTTTTGAATTTTGCACTTTGTTTATCCGTGTGTATTGCACCTCTATCTTTTTTTTTTTTTTTTTTTTTTTTTTTTGTATTCACCTCTGCCCTATATCTTCAAGTCTTCATGGCTTTTTATAGGCAATCAAATATATCCGTTGGAGTGGGATAATTTGATATTTGAAATTTGAATCTTCATAGCCTGATATTGTTGACAATAGTAGATCTTCAATTTTGATTTGATTGTCAACTTGCCTGATAAAATAATATTTTATCTCAACTTGATTGTCAAGTTGTTTCTTAAAATATTATTTTTGTTGTCAATTTGAATATCCAATGAATCTTTGAAATAAATTCATCTGATAGAATTTATTTCTAGGATAAGTTTTTATATTCATGTCTTCATAAATATTTTTCCGTTCTTATAAAAAATCTTCAACCAATTTTGGACTCTTGTGGCATGTGGGCTGATCCAAAATAAATTCCTTCGAATTTATTCATTTTCTGAACATATTGCTTCTTTGTCACATTGTGCTCCTTTGACTTGGACACTTCTTGCTTGTTTGACTTGAACATTGTGCTTTTCTGATTTGGTCACATTGTGCTTTTTTGGACACATCGTGCTTTTTCACAGTGTACTCCTTTTGAACATTGTGCTCCTTTTCAGACATCGTGCTCCTTTGGCACATCTTGCTTGTACACATTGTGCTTTTTTAGAACATTGCGCTCCTTTGAGAACATTGTGCTGTGCTCCTTTGGCACATCTTGCTTGTACACATTGTGCTTTTTTAGAACATTGCGCTCCTTTGAGAACATTGTGCTTGTTCCAGACATTGTGCTTGTCCGCATCGTG